GTGGCAGTGAATGAGTCAAGTGACTGAGCCCTGAAAAGGTGCATTCTGGAAGGTCCTTAAAATATTAAAAATACAACAGCTGAAATACTTTATGTGAAAGGGATCATGTGCAAAAAAACTCCACGAACGTGTTTTGAATCGACCATAAAACTACGATCACTTGTTTAGGGTAAAATATGTACCCTTTAACACCTAAAAATTGTGACTGTTGATTGGAAAATACTTGCTTTCTTTGACATAAAAAATTGATATTAATTGTAAAATCAAATACAAGTCAGTTCACTTGAAATTCAAAGTTTGCCTCTTGGCCTTTGTCCCACCTCTAGTACATGAGAGTAATGGATGAGGGTGTCAGAACCTCTGCAAACCCTGGACACAGTGGGAATAAACTGATCTGGGGTCAACGTTTCACAAAGGTCCTGTTCAATATAAAGGTCAGCGGTGTAAAGCTATTTCTGCTGAGAAATAAAAAACCCACGAAGGGCTTTGGGGATACTAGGAGGAACATCTCGGGGAATAAGAAACTATTACATTGCCATGGACTGATACACTCACAAACACCTCCATACACACACACACACACACACACACACACACACACACATAGATATGGGGGGGGGGGGGGGGGGGTGGAGAGAAGGAAGGGAAAAAGCTGTTCCAGTTCAGCAGTCCAGCCTTTCAGGGCTCTGGCTTCACAAATTGACAATTTTCTCAAACTGTTATCCAGAAAGATGAGTCTGTACGTAAGCCTGGGGAGTTGGCCCTTTGGACACGTAAACAGATGTTGACACACACACACACACACACACACACACACACACACACACACACACACACACACACACACACACACACACACACACACACAGTGTGCACATTTTCACACAACAACCCCCAAAGCAGAACGTTTTGCTGCTGTTAGGAGTGAGAAGATGACTGTTGTTTATAAATGATGAAGCTCCTCTCTGGATAATTTACTCACATAACTTCACAGGAAACAGTCAGGTTGCCAGGCATGAAGACAAAAATCTTCTTATGCTGAAAACTGAAACTGTTGCTCCCTCTAGTGGACAGAGTGTTACACTTTCAACTTCAAAATTTCCCATTTTACAAAAAAAAAAAAAAAAAGAAAAAAGAAATTATTTTTCTGAGGTACGCTGTAGAAAAAGAAACATAAACTTGTTTTTAAAAATTTCCTGACTTTGTGTTAAAAATGAATGTGAAATATGTAAAATTTTACGGTACAGATTGTTTAAATTTTGTGTATACTTTTCTTTAAATACAGACTTTTAAATCCAGAAGTTGAATAAAAAATATGTTCTTGTTTTGTTTTTGTTGTAAATTACAACTTTTTGACTGGTTTGAGACACCAAATGAGACTAGTGCATTAAACAAAACATTCAAAAAACAACAAACAACCACGTTTTAAACAGAAACGTCAGGCTGTTCATTTCTATGTTGATCCTCTTTTTGCATGAATGACTGCATCACTAACCCTAACCCTTGCCTTTGGGCAGTGGGGGCAGGTGCCAGTTGTTGACAAATGAACATCTCCATTTAGCTTGTCTGCAGAAGTATGAAGGTCTCGTAAATGTTCTGCTCGATGTCTACGTAGACTCCAGAAACCTCAGTTGACCAACACCATTAGAAGATGTGGACCATCTGGGCCTCTCAGCTCCTCCTCCAGACTCTGAGATCCTGATCAGCAAATTACCTGCCTTCCCTTCTTCTGACAAGAAGACATTGGACCGTGTTCTCCTCAGCCCAGGTAAGAGTCTCTACAAGACCATTTAGAGCAGGGCTCCCCAGTCCTAGTGTTGGAGAGCTGGAATCCAGATGTTTCTCTGCTCCAACACATCTGATTCAGTCATCGAATCACCTGTTCAGCAGCTAATCCAGAAGCCTGTTAGCCACCTTCAGTTGGAAATCTTGTGTGTTGAAGCAGGGAAACAACAGTGTTCAACCCTGGTCCTCAAGGACCACCATTCTGCAGTTACAGTGATCCCTAACCCTGTTCCCCGACGGCCATTATCCAGCATGTTTTACTGTTTTCCTGCTTCAACACACCTGATTTTAACCAGCAGGCCTCTCCAAACAGCTGAACAGGTGGTTGAAGCAGGGAAACAACTAAAACATGTTGGATACCAACCCTTAGGGAAGGGAGTTGTCTCCTGGAGTTTAAAACACAGGTGCTGGTCATTAAATTACAATGTCAGGACAAAGTTGATTTATTTCAGTAATTTCATGTAAAAAGTGAAACTTGCATATTTGATTCACTCATTACACATATTTCAAACATTTATTTATTTAATGTTGATGAATATAACCAACAACTAATGAAAATGCCAAATTCCGTATCTTATAAAATTAGAATATTTATTAAGACCGACACAACAAAAGGAACTTTAGAAATGTTGTGAAATGTGTGAGCATGTACAGCACTCGTGTGGTTGGGGCTCTGCAGGCCTGGATTACTGCAGCAATGCGCTTTTATGAGAGCCCATGTTGGTCTGATCGTGGCCTTCAGCTCTTCTGAATTGTTGTCTCTGGAGAACTGCATCTTCCTCTAGCCCTTATAAGGTCAGGCCAGTGTGCTGGCCAGTCAAGAACAGGGATACCCTGGTCCTTAGACTAGAAACGGGTAGCTTTGGCACTGTGTGCAGGTGCCAAGTCCATCTCCATAAAGTTTGTCAGTAGCAGGAAGTGCTCTAAAACTTCCTGGTAGATGGCTGCGTTGACCTTGGACCTCAGAAACACAATGGACCAACACCAGCAGATGACATGGTACCCCAAACCATCACTGACTGTGGAAACTTTACATGGACCTCAAGCAACGTGGCTCTCTGCTCTCTTCCTCCAGACTCTGGGATGTTGATTTCCAAAGGAAATACAAAATTTACTTTCATCAGAGATCATAAGTTTGGACCACTCAGCAGCAGTCCAGTCCTTTTTGTTTTTAGCCCAGGCGAGACACTTCTGACGCTGTCTCTTGTCCAAGAGGGGCCTGACACAAGGAAGCTGCGGCTGAAACCAGGTCTTGCATACGTCTGTGGGTGGTGGTTCTTGAAGCACGGACTCTAGCTGCAGTCCACTCTGAATCTCCTCCACATGTTTGAATGGCTTTTGTTTCACAATCTTCTCCAGGGTCGGGTTATCTGTACTGCTTGTACACTTTTTTTTATCACATCTAGTCCTTCCCTTCTCCTCTCTGTTAATGTGCTTGGACTCAGAGCTGTGAACAGCCGGCTTCTTTAGCAACAACCTGTTGTCTTGCCCTCCTTGTGAAAGGTGTCAGCGGTCGTCTTTTGGACAAGTGTCCAGTCAGCAGTCTTTCCCATGATCGTGTATCCTACAGAGCTAGACTGAGACCATTTAAAGGCTTTTGCAGGTGTTTTGGGTTAATTAGCTGATTAGTGTGTGGCACCAGGGCTCTTCAATATTGAGCCTTTCACAATATTCTAATATTCTGAGATACAGAATTTGGGATTTTCATTGGTTGTCAGTTATAATCATCAAAATTAAAATACCCACTTACAGCCTTTTGTCTCTAGATGACCCATGCAACATTTGACTGATGCCAAATTAACAGAAAACCATCTTTGATGACCAAAGATGACCTCTATGGGATTCAGTTGTAAATGGTCACAGCGCCCCCTAGATGGGTTCAAACTTGATCAACTTCTAAAGACAAGGTCAGAATGGCAATACACTTGGCTTGTGTCATCACGTGACTGCACCAAACACATTGATGTGGTTGTTGGTTCAAACCCCTTTAGCTCCACCCCCTTTCAGCTCTCTGGCTCTTTATTACACACATGACATCTGATTAATGCCATAATAACAGAAAACCATCTTTGTCAACCAAAGCTGAATGGGATTTGTCTGTGGTTGCTCACAGCACCCCCTAGATAAATTTAACCTTCAATAACTTCAAAAAACATGGTCAGAATAGCATTAAAGTTGGTCTGTGTTATCACACCACAAGTGTGGTAAAGACAGAGTATGCCCTAGGGGTGAGACATGTAATTTAATGGTGGGCTCAGAGGGGATGTCGAGTCAGGGTGAGGTGAGGACGAGGTGACTGTTAGCGGTTTCTGGTGTTGGGGTGGTCGACGTTTATGTTCAGTGGACGTGCCCGGGTGTCCCAGGCTGCCGGCCGGGCCGGAGTGGCGCAGAGCTGCGAGGGCCGAACGACGCTGCTTGCAGCTTAAATTAGGCCCGAGAAGCGACAGCGCTGCAAAGGCCTCTTGTTTTTCCTCCGTTTATTATTATTTATTGAAAGTCAAGTTTTATTTTTTCTATTTGATCGCCCATTCCTTTTGAGCAATTTCCCACAACATTTGAGATGATCATGCGAAAAATGATAGAGTAAATCAATCAGAAGCGGACCCTAGAAACGGCCAAAACAGGGTCAAAATCACTACTTCAAACCAAAATGGCCGACTTCCTGTTTGATGTTGACCATGGTTGCAAAAGGCTTTTCTGTGCAGACTGTTAAGTACTACATGTGTACAAAATTTCATAACTATACAACAAACTAAGGTTTATGGAGGGGGGTATTTTTCATATTCTAGGGGGCGCTGTGGAGCTAGTTTAATTGCGATTTATTTGGGACCACCACGCCTGACATGTGTGCAAAAATTCCTGAGTTTTCGGAAATGTTAAGGCCTCCAAAAAGCCTTTTTACTTGGCGGGCGGAAGAAAAATAAACAGAGCAGATACAATAGGCCTTTGCAGCACTTTCGCTGCTCGGGCGTAATTAGATATTTTTGCTTCTAATCTCACAAAGATCTGAGACTTTTGATGGGATTGCATGGTTAGAGACTATTATTGTAGACATTCAATGATTTAAATGGAACATTTAACAAAAACATTCATGTTTAAGCTTTAAATTATCTCTAATTTAAAACTTCCACAGAATTGAAGTTGTGGTTCTGATCAAATCAGCTGAAAGTGCTGAATCGCTTTTTTCCATCTTGATGAGAACAAGCTGACAGAAGCACTTCTTTACTATATTTATTACAATTTATCATTTTAATAACTCTTAAATACAAAATTTAAAAGAAACACACGTCACACCCGTATCGGAGTTCTACCAGGTCGATGTGTGAATATGCACACGCAGTCTTGCATACACTATGTACAGGTCTGTGTGGTGGGACTGGATTTGGCAAGGTTGGATGGTCTCCCACTGATAAGGCATGCCAGGTAGGGCGCCGCCACGTGACTCGGAGAGCTCAGGTTGACTCTAAAGTCCCAGAATTCCCGCTTCATGCAGAGGTCTTGGTTACGCGTTGAAAGTTCTGGATGTTACTTCGTCACGGTCAGCTCAGATGATGTCATCAGACGGAGCCAGGTGCAGTGATGTCATCACTTGGCGACCTCCGGGGCCATTCTGGATCCCGCCTCCGAGGCATAACATCATCCGAAGAGCGGGAAGTGTGCTTATCTGCTGGTAAGGTCACTGTGCCGTCATGTCAGATGTTTGAGAGGCGGCGCCCTCTGGTAGCGCCGAGCGAAGCTCGTAGCCTCGGCTCTCTGGCCCTGAAGGAAAAGCAGATTTTGGAATGATCGCGTATAAAAGAAAACCTACGTGGTGAATAAACGGTTTCAGCTGGTTCTACACAGAAGTTAAATGTTTCACATGATTTATGTGAAAGTTTAGCTGTTTTCTCTACAAGCCCTGCAGCCTCACCTGGCTCCTGGCTCCTCTGTCCGTTGGTTAGAAAAAGAAAACAAAAGTTTGAACAAATAAACAAATAAACCTAAAAGCGTTGTGTGTCTTTCTTCTTAGACTCCCAACATTAAAAGTGTTTTTACTGCCTAAAATTCTTCCTGGTGGCATTTGAACAAAACAGCAGGAGCATCAGTAAGGATTGCAGAAGGAAGGCAACACACACGGCCGAGTAAAAAAGAAGCAAACACTTTCATTATTTTAGACTGTGAGTCTGTCTCTGTAGCACAAAACCCACACGGTTCCATTTGCAACGGTTAACACTCCTGGAAAAAGAAACAACTTCCTGTTTGGACCACTGGGCTTCCGTAGCTGCTCTTCTCTGCTTCTATAGCAGCACTGTCTGCCCAGGTTTGGTTTAAGGGACTCACTGGTGTCTGTGTTTTAAATTAATGTTTGTGTTAGGGCGTGTTAAACATATGCTAGCTAGTAGGTTTCGTGGATTCTAGTCTGATTAGAGTAATTTAAATACTAAATAGTATTTTCATGTTTTAATTACAGCTCTACTCTGCCACCTGGTGGCACACAGCTGTGCCAGCAGTCTCAAAGATTAATAATGTTTATAAATCCCAATTATTCCCCCACAAACGAGAAGCGCTACATTCATCCGAGGGTAGAAGAAACCGCTAACGGGTTTCCTTGCTTCTGCAGACGAACCTGTAGTGCTCGTTGAAGTCCAGTCGGAAACTTAGGAAGCGAAGGCTCTCGTCTGAGCTTGTCATGAGCAGCACCAGGAACTGCTGGACGATGCTCTGAGAGACGGAGGAACGTTGAGAGAAGTGAAGCTGGACTCTAAACGATGAATAAAATCGGAGAAACTTTGTTGTGGTTTGGACCGGTACCTGGTAGAAGTGGGTGAGGATTCGCAGCTGGGATCGCATCTTTGGAATGGTGTCTTGAAACTCCTGGATCCTCCTCCTCTCCTCTGCTTCCTGTTCCGCCGTCACGCCCCACTGACCCTGGACCAGTAAAGCATAATTATGGGATGCTGCCACGCTGCTGTGCTGTTTACAGGTCTGACCTCCCCTTCATACCTCCTCCTCCCGCTGCCGCTTCCTCTCCTCAAACTGCAGCCGCAGGGTGAGCTCCTCCAGCGCCGAGCGGTAGAGGGCGTCCTGGGCACTTTGAAACTCGATGATCTGGTCAAAGATGGCCCTCAGCTGGTTCAACAGAGACTGGAGACACGGGTGAAAGACAAAGTTGAATAAAACACAGATCAGAGAGGAAGACGGACGTGAGAGCAAACGCAGCCTCACCCTGCTGTTGTTGTCCAGCAGGCATCTGGAGATGATGGTGTCCAGAAAAACATCGTGGGCGGCGATGATGTGGTCCAGATCCTGAGCCTGCTGCACTTTGTTCCACAGCTCGTCCCACGAGCACTCCAGCACCTAAACGCAGGCCAAGGGTCTTAGTTTGGGTTCCCAGAATAAACAAACACGCCCTGTCGTCCCACCATCAGCTGGACCGACCTCAAAGGTGATGTAGTACTGCATCTGGTGGATGAAGTGGACCATCTCCGAGGCCAGGATGTGACACTGATGCAGCACACCGGACAGCTCTGCAGGGCGGAGACAAACAGACAGGTTCTAGGATCCCAAACTGGTTAACACCCAAACTAATGAGGCTAAAAACAAGAGATTTAAAGTAACGTCAGTGTGAGGAGAACTTAAGCTTCTGCACCGGGCATGGTTTTCAGCAGCTTGGCGTTGCACATCTGTCCCTTCCAGATGTCGGTCAGTGTGTACTCCATCCTCTTGGCCCTCCACAGGAAGTTAAACACACGAAGGTAGTGACCCATGCACTCTCTAGTGAACACCTGATGCACATGGGACACGTGTTATAGGCGTGTTTGTTTGGTTTTCAACACCAGAAGGCTTTACCGTTGCAATGGGTCCATCCACGTGGTAATCCAGGCTGAAGACGTCCCAGCCCGTGTCACCAGGAGACACCTGCAGCCCAACCAGGACAGGAGGAGCAATCAGAAAAGAAAGTAGACGGAGTACAAAGGCGTAGGTATGGGGTTACCTCCAGCAGGCGCACATCCAGCCTCTTCAGGATCTCCGCGTTGTCAAACTGAGCGTTGGTGGCCCGGACCGCTGTCTCCAGGATCCCGGTCAGGTTGTGCTGGTACAGCGTCGTAGCGGGGCGCGCCAGCTCGGGTCTGGATCAGAAGGAACTCAGTTACTCCTCCTGTCTGATGCTTCAACACCAACAAAAGTTAAAGAGTCTGACTTGAGCAGGTCCATGAGGTGTCTGATGAAGTCTCCCTGGCCCAGCAGCAGGTATCTCCTCATGGCCTGAAGGTGCTCCAGCAGCAGGTAGTTTCGGTTCAGAACATCCAGCAGGTATTTGCTGGTGTCGAAGTAGGCAGAGTCGATTTTCTCCTGAAAAGCTCCCTCCAGGTCCGAAAGCAGCTCGGCGGCTGTTGGGAGGAACACGAGAACTCGGGTTTAACCTCTGGAGGAGTTTATGGGTCATAAAATACCGGCTGGCCTCAACACCTAGAGTTCCTGTCGCAGCCGTTGGGTCAGTCGTTAGATGTACACATCTCTACGGTAAAAGCTACTGTAGCGCTGACGCTAAGGATCTAACAGAAACAGATGAAGTCCAACAGGTGGAATCGACGGGATGTCGCCACGGGAACGTCTCCGTCCTCCAGTCGAAGCAGAAGGACAGGGTGAGCCGTAAGAGCATCGATCGCTGCCAGTCCAGCATCGATGTCATTATATCAATACGATGACGTCATCAACACAACATCTCCCACACTTCTCTTGTTATGATGCTCTGCGGGGCAAACGGTTTCCATGGGAACAGGAGGAAAAATGCCAACACAAAGTGGGACGGTTACCATCTTTAGGGGTGTCCGCTGGCTTGGACGCTGGTGTGATTTTGCCCGGCGGCGTTCTGTCATGACAAACCTGGTGCAGGAAGTTGATTGATTTGCCGATAAGCAGAACCTGGAAAGACGGAGAAGTGTACAACTTTGTAGTCATGGCGTGTGTCGGAGATCAATCAGCCGTATTGAACTGTGTGTGTGTGTGTGTGTGTGTGTGTGTGTGTGTGCACCTTGCGGGCCTGGTCCATAGTGATGAACGAAGGGATCATTGACTTCCTGAGGGAGTACTTATCATGCCAGAGACGATCCGTCTTCACGTTAGGATCGGATGCTACAAAGAACTACAAACAGACACCGAGCTGTAAAAAAAGTGAAGTGGGAGGAGCCAGACGGACGCCCCTCCTCAGGGCTGTTAGGACCGTTGTCCTGGTCCATATTCCAGATGTTTGATCACGTTTAAATGATTGTTGTGATTTTCTGGAGGTTTTTTTTGCCACATTGCTAGAAATGCTCGGACCAACCCCAGAACAACCTCGTCCAATCATTCTTAACGATTGGACGCGACCCGTCCATCCTGTCCGCCCCCATTTAAAAATGTATTTTTACCATTTTTTATTTTAAATAAGTGATTAAGAAGCACATTAAAATGTTTACAGCTACCACCCCACATTAACATTCAGTTTTTCCAAACCACAAGCCTTGAAGGGTGTTTTAGCCTCTTGCATTAATGATGATGATGATTTAAGCCTCCATAAACACCACATAAGTGATGATCTCTCTAGATCATCAACTCATAAATGTTCATTTTATTGCAATAAAACCAACTTCCTTAAATAAACACGTTAAAAATCAAGGATTTTCAAGCATCTGACTCCTGGTGGATAAATGGGGGGGAAGGCCTTTTATCACCCATTATTGTGGCCGTTTGTGTGTGTTTACACATCGAGCGTGAGGCCTCCTGGGTAATTCTGCTGAGTACTCTTAAACACAGCAGCACTCTGATCCGACCCTGAGTGTTTGGGTCATAAACACCGCGAGAGAAGCTGAACGAGGAAACGGAGACACATCCATCACCGCCGTCCCCATTACGCTCCTCTCATCAGTCCTCGTTCAAGAGGCCGACCTTCTATCGTCCCCCCCCCCCCACACACACACACACACTAATGCTCCCTCTCACTGGGGTCAAATGTCAGAGAACAGAACAATGTTCCAGAAACGAGCTGTAAACTCTCAATGTCCTTCGGTTTCCTCTGAGGTGATTAGATTTCCCCATTCTAGGGTGAGAGGATGTGATCCGTGTACCTCGTGGTATGTGTCCTCCAGCTCTCCATCATATATCCACCTGTAGAGGAAGCTGAGGATGGGGTGTGACACCAGGCTGAGGATGTGTTGGATCAGCGCTCTCATCTGAGGGTCTCCCGTTTTCCCGTAGGCGTGAACCGCTGAAGCCAGCTCACCTCCCTTACGACCTGAACACACCCACAGGTACCGGTTCTTTTCTACTGAGACGCAGATGCTAAGACCAGTAACACACACACACACACACACCTTGACAGAAGTCGACAAGGGCGGCCAGCGTTTTGAGGCGAACCTTGGGGTCGTACATCCAGACGAGCAGCCGCCTCAGGGTCAAACTGCTCTCTGTGCAAATAGTCACACCCTGTTCATCCTCCACCTGCAGCTACACACACACACACACACACACACACACACACACACACACACACACACACACACACACACACACACACACACACACACACACACACACACACACACACACACACACACACACACATGATGAGGCTGAGATGTAGAACAGCTCCATTAGGAATACAAACTCATTTGAAATAATTAGGAAACACACGTAACCATTCTCACCTTTAAGAGCGAGTTAATAAAATTTACATAGTTCATCAAAATATGAGCAAAACTGTGGAGGTTTAGTATCGTCCGATACAGACACCTGAGGGTTAGTATCGTCCGATAAGACAACTGAGGTTTAGTATCGTCCGATACAGACACCTGAGGTTTAGTATCGTCCGAAACCGGCACCTGAGGTTTAGTATCGTCCGATACCAGCACCTGAGGTTTAGTACCGTCCGAAACCGGCACCTGAGGTTTAGTATCGTCCGATACCGGCACCTGAGGTTTAGTATCGTCCGATACCGGCACCTGAGGTTTAGTATCGTCCGATACCGGCACCTGAGGTTTAGTATCGTCCGATACGACAACTGAGGTTTAGTATCGTCCGATACAGACACCTGAGGTTTAGTATCGTCCGATACAGGCACCTGAGGTTTAGTATCGTCCGATACAGACACCTGAGGTTTAGTATCGTCCGATACCGGCACCTGAGGTTTAGTATCGTCCGATACCGGCACCTGAGGTTTAGTATCGTCCGAAACCGGCACCTGAGGTTTAGTACCGTCCGATACCGACACCTGAGGTTTAGTATCGTCCGATACCGACACCTGAGGTTTAGCATCGTCCGATACCGACACCTGAGGTTTAGCATCGTCCGATACCGGCACCTGAGGTTTAGCATCGTCCGATACCGGCACCTGAGGTTTAGTATCGTCCGATACCGGCACCTGAGGTTTAGTATCATCTGATACAGACACCTGAGGTTTAGTATCATCTGATACAGACACCTGAGGTTTAGTATCGTCCGATACAGACACCTGAGGTTTAGTATCGTCCGATACAGACACCTGAGGGTTAGTATCGTCCGATACAGACACCTGAGGTTTAGTATCGTCCGATACCGGCACCTGAGGTTTAGTATCGTCCGATACCGGCACCTGAGGTTTAGTATCATCTGATACAGACACCTGAGGTTTAGTATCGTCCGATACAGACACCTGAGGTTTAGTATCGTCCGATACAGACACCTGAGGTTTAGTATCGTCCGATACAGACACCTGAGGTTTAGTATCGTCCGATACAGACACCTGAGGGTTAGTATTGTCCGATACAGACACCTGAGGGTTAGTATCGTCCGATACAGACACCTGAGGTTTAGTATCGTCCGATACAGACACCTGAGGGTTAGTATCGTCCGATACCGGCACCTGAGGTTTAGTATCGTCCGATACAGACACCTGAGGTTTAGTATCGTCCGATACAGACACCTGAGGGTTAGTATCGTCCGATACAGACACCTGAGGTTTAGTATCGTCCGATACAGACACCTGAGGTTTAGTATCGTCCGATACCGGCACCTGAGGTTTAGTATCATCTGATACAGACACCTGAGTTTTAGTATCGTCCGATACAGACACCTGAGGTTTAGTATCGTCCGATACAGACACCTGAGGGTTAGTATCGTCCGATACAGACACCTGAGGTTTAGTATCGTCCGATACCGGCACCTGAGGTTTAGTATCGTCCGATACCGGCACCTGAGGTTTAGTATCGTCCGAAACCGGCACCTGAGGTTTAGTACCGTCCGATACCGACACCTGAGGTTTAGTATCGTCCGAAACCGGCACCTGAGGTTTAGTACCGTCCGATACCGGCACCTGAGGTTTAGTATCGTCCGATACCGGCACCTGAGGTTTAGTATCGTCCGAAACCGGCACCTGAGGTTTAGTACCGTCCGATACCGACACCTGAGGTTTAGCATCGTCCGATACCGACACCTGAGGTTTAGCATCGTCCGATACCGACACCTGAGGTTTAGTATCGTCCGATACCGGCACATGATGTTTAGTATCGTCCGATACCGACACCTGAGGTGGCTGAGGTGGCGTGAGAACGCTCCAGTGCGCGGTTTCTTTAGTTTGCTCCAATCTGAAAACAACGTGAGCCTTTGAGAGGTGACTCGCTAGCGTGTGATGTCTCTCTCAGCTCTCAGCACAGATCAAACCCATTTTCCTGATACCTGATCTAGAACTTTCTTCAACATCAGGATCTCAACATTTGAATGGGTGCATCTCTAATCTCTCAATCTTGGTGAACTTTACTGTAAAGAGTGAAAAACACAGATTATCAGCAAATCCAGATTGGATTACATCTGGATTTTGACTAATTCCACAACTTTACATGTTTCATTTTTTATTCCGTTTGAATTTTCCTCAAAGTGGAAGCCCCCCCCCCCCCCCCCCCCCCCCCCCCCCCGCGGGCCATGGATAAGACAGGTTACCAAAATAAAAGCATGTCAGCCATAAGGAATATTACCTGTGAGTGGAGGACAGAGAGGAGCCTGTAGTACTCTTTCAGCTCCTGGTGAAGGGAGGCGCAGAAGCTCTGGGGAAAAACACAGGTGAGCATCAACAGGTGTACAGGAGTGAAAAACACAACCAGGCAACGACGACTCACCTGTCCGACCAATCCGAAGGCCCGATCCAGGCTCCTGGCGTCGGTGTACTTCCTAACTTTGTTATGGAGCCAGCCCAGTTCAGCCAGTCTGCTGCTGGTGTCCCTGAGGGACCTGCATAGCACCACCTAGAGGTTGGAAACAGAAGTGCTCTGAATCCTGATGACTGAGTCTAGACCTGAAGAGTGGACACGTTTCCCGTTTATCATTTAGAAAAGGTCAAAACTACTAAAATCAGCAGTTTTTATATATTTTTAAGGTGAAACGATTCCCTCAGAGAAACATACCTGCGTCTTTATAAATATTACTTGTAGTAGATAACGTCTAAAGCAGCTACAGCCGACTAAATCCTCATCCAGCTCATTCATTTATGACTGTTAGCCTCAGGCCAGGATTTGTTGTGTGAATCTAAAATATGTTAGAATTTACTAAACTAAAAATTACTTAAAAATCATTTAAAATAGAAATTGTTCATAACTTTTACAGAAATTGGAAACTAAAACAGACCCAAAATCATTTAGATGCATTTCTCTGCTGAACTTTAAAGCAGAAAACTCCCGTTATGATTAATTAGAAATAACTTAACCGTGTAAATTCTGCAGTGACTTCCCAACAGTAATAAAACGAAAAAGCTAAAGCTTTGGCGTGTGGGTGGAAACGGCCGTAGTTTTCCATCAGCGTAACCGGAAAGGCGAGAATAATTCACTCTTAATGTTGCATTAAATTTTTATCCTCTTAACGTTTTCTCCAGGGAGGTTAAGTGGGGATGGGAACTCCAAAATATCTTCATCCTTGACTCAACTATCCTCTCCGGCTCCTGTCCTGATGGAAAACTCCGACCATGAATCTAAGTTTAGCAGCACCGGTCCGGAACGACGTGGAACAAAAGGAATCGACAGGCCAGAAAAAGCTCCAGCTGATGCGTTTCAGCGCCAAAAAGCCTCGCATCGATCGGCTGAAAGTGCAATTAGCAGCAACGGTTTAATCCCAGCGGGGTCACCTCGGCCTCGGAGAACGTACCTTGCTGTCCATTTTGTAGCCGTTTTCCTGAGCGTTCATCTTGATGAATTTGCCGTCGATTCCCTGGAAGACGTAGAGGATGTCCCGCACCAGCGCCGCCTCGCTCACCTCATCTGCACGGGTGGAAGATGGGCGATCAACATTAAAACTGAACAGTAGTTCTCTGAGAAAGGAACTTAAAAACCTGGAAAAGTTGGTAAAATAAGTAGAAATAAAGTGTTCTTTTTAATTTAACAATAACTTATTTAGTGATTAACAACAACTGTAGTCATTCACCAGCTGCGTCGCCGTCCCGTCGAGGACGGACCAGCCTGCTGGACAGAACCGCAGGCCCGAGGGGTGGTCTGGATGTGGGCGGGGCCAGAGCAGATGAAGGGGAGGAGCTTACAGGAAGTGCCCAGGCTAACCGAGAGCCCAGAGGTTGCGTGGCTCCAGCTGAAGACTGACTGAAGACACAGAAAGGGTTCTAGATTAATCTGGAGAATCTGAGCAAAACGCGACTAAACTAAGAGGCTCCACAGAGAAATAGATTTAGTATTTCTATTTCTAAATCTATTGAGAGAGAAAAAAAACACTTAAATGTTTATTAAAGCAAACAAATATCTTCCTTTTTAGAACCAGAATAAGACACAAAATTGAAATATCTGTATAAAACAATAAAAATTAGGAATTATTTTACTCTTAGAGCAAAACTAAAGTTAACAGAGTGAAAGCTGTTATCTGTCCTTTGGTGCCAGAGACATGAAACATCGACTCTGGTCTCTGAAAACCTGAAACCGACAAAGTTTAGATCCCAAATAAAGAAATAAACGTTCTGTATAAACAAGAGTAAATGAACTACATTGTAAACACGAGTCGCAGCAAGTTAACTTCAGAAAAATGAGCCTGAGGCAGGTCGTGGACTCAGAGTCGAGTCATGCTGGTGTTTTTAGATCAGCTCTGCTCTGCTGCTGGTTGCTTTCACAAACGCAGCCAAACCTTTGATGTTTTCAAAAACCTCTCAAGCCTGATGTCCACGTCTCCTTCTGCGTCAGTACGAAGACGTGCAACGCCATGACACGTCACCAAAAGCGCTTTCCGGCAGACCTGCAGAGGCCGACAGAAATAGGCTCCATCTTTTAAATATTCGCCGAAAGTGACGGAGACCGTAATGAGACCGAGACCCGGACCGCAACAAGACTGAGACCGTAACGAGACAGAGACCGTAACGAGACAGAGACCCTGACCGCAACAAGACCGAGACCGTAACGAGACAGAGACCGTAACAAGACCGAGACCGTAACGAGACAGAGACCGCAACAAGACCACAACAAGAATGAGACCCTAACGAGACCGAGACCCTGACCGTAATGAGACAGAGACCGTAACGAGACCGAGACCGTAAAAAGACTGAGACCGTAACGAGACTGAGACCCTGACCGTAATGAGACTGAGACCGTAACGAGACTGAGACCCTGACCGTAACAAGACTGAGACCGTAACGAGACTGAGACCCTGACCGTAATGAGACCAAGACCGTAACGAGACAGAGACCCTGACCGTAACAAGACTGAGACCGTAACAAGACTGAGACCCTGACCGTAATGAGACCAAGACCGTAACGAGACAGAGACCCTGACCGTAATGAGACTGAGACCGTAACGAGACTGAGACCCTGACGGTAACAAGACTGAGACCGTAACGAGACTGAGACCCTGACCGTAACAAGACTGAGACCGTAACGAGACTGAGACCCTGACCGTAATGAGACCAAGACCGTAACGAGACAGAGACCCTGACCGTAACAAGACTGAGACCGTAACAAGACTGAGACCCTGACCGTAATGAGACCAAGACCGTAACGAGACAGAGACCCTGACCGTAACAAGACTGAGACTGTAACGAGACTGAGACCGTAACAAGACTGAGACCGTAACGAGACTGAGACCCTGACCGTAATGAGACCGAGACTGTAACGAGACAGAGACCCTGACCGTAACGAGGCCGAGACTGTAACGAGACAGAGACCCCGACCGTAACAAGACTGAGACCGTAACAAGACTGAGACCGTAACAAGACTGAGACCGTAACGAGACAGAGACCCTGACCGTAACAAGACTGAGACCGTAACGAGACAGAGACCCTGACCGTAACAAGACTGAGACCGTAACGAGACTGAGACCGTAACGAGACTGAGACCGTAACAAGACTGAGACCGTAACGAGACTGAGACCCTGACCGTAACAAGACTGACACCATAACGAGACTGAGACGGTAACAAGACTGAGACCGTAACGAGACTGAGACCGTAACAAGACTGAGACCGTAACGAGACTGAGACCCTGACCGTAACAAGACTGACACCGTAACGAGACTGAGACGGTAACAAGACTGACACCGTAACGAGACTGAGACGGTAACAAGACTGAGACCGTAACGAGACTGAGACCGTAACGAGACTGAGACCCTGACCGTAACAAGACTGAGACCGTAACGAGACTGAGACCCTGACCGTAACAAGACTGAGACCGTAACGAGACAGAGACCCTGACCGTAACAAGACTGAGACCGTAACGAGACTGAGACCGTAACGAGACAGAGACCGTAACGAGACAGAGACCGTAACGAGACTGAGACCGTAACAAGACTGAGACCGTAACGAGACAGAGACCCTGACCGTAACAAGACTGACACCGTAACGAGACTGAGACGGTAACAAGACTGAGACCGTAACGAGACTGAGACCGTAACAAGACTGAGACCGTAACGAGACTGAGACCCTGACCGTAACAAGACTGAGACCTTAACGAGACAGAGACCCTGACCGTAACAAGACTGAGACCGTAACGAGACTGAGACTGTAACGAGACTGAGACCGTAACAAGACTGAGACCGTAACGAGACTGAGACCGTAACGAGACTGAGACCCTGACCGTAATGAGACCGAGACCGTAACGAGACAGAGACCGCAACAAGACCACAACAAGAATGAGACCCTAACGAGACCGAGACCCTGACCGTAATGAGACAGAGACCGTAACGAGACCGAGACCGTAACAAGACTGAGACCGTAACGAGACTGAGACCCTGACCGTAATGAGACCGAGACCGTAACGAGACTGAGACCCTGACCGTAATGAGACCGAGACCGTAACAAGACTGAGACCGTAACGAGACTGAGACCCTGACCGTAACAAGACTGAGACCGTAACGAGACTGAGACCCTGACCGTAATGAGACCAAGACCATAACGAGACAGAGACCCTGACCGTAACAAGACTGAGACCGTAACGAGACTGAGACCCTGACCGTAATGAGACCAAGATCGTAACGAGACAGAGACCCTGACCGTAACAAGACTGAGACCGTAACGAGACTGAGACCGTAACGAGACTGAGACTGTAACGAGACTGAGACCCTGACCGTAATGAGACCGAGACTGTAACGAGACAGAGACCCTGACCGTAATGAGACCGAGACCGTAACGAGGCCGAGACTGTAACGAGACAGAGACCCCGACCGTAACAAGACTGAGACCGTAACAAGACTGAGACCGTAACGAGACAGAGACCCTGACCGTAACAAGACTGAGACCGTAACGAGACAGAGACCCTGACCGTAACAAGACTGAGACCGTAACGAGACTGAGACCGTAACGAGACTGAGACCGTAACGAGACTGAGACCCTGACCGTAACAAGACTGACACCGTAACGAGACTGAGACGGTAACAAGACTGAGACCGTAACGAGACTGAGACCGTAACGAGACTGAGACCCTGACCGTAACAAGACTGACACCGTAACGAGACTGAGACGGTAACAAGACTGAGACCGTAACAAGACTGAGACCGTAACGAGACTGAGACCGTAACGAGACTGAGACCCTGACCGTAACAAGACTGAGACCGTAATGAGACAGAGACCCTGACCGTAACAAGACTGAGACCGTAACGAGACAGAGACCCTGACCGTAACAAGACTGAGACCGTAACGAGACTGAGACCGTAACGAGACAGAGACCGTAACGAGACCGAGACCGTAACAAGACTGAGACCGTAACGAGACAGAGACCCTGACCGTAACAAGACTGACACCGTAACGAGACTGAGACGGTAACAAGACTGAGACCGTAACGAGACTGAGACCGTAACAAGACTGAGACCGTAACGAGACTGAGACCCTGACCGTAACAAGACTGAGACCTTAACGAGACAGAGACCCTGACCGTAACAAGACTGAGACCGTAACGAGACTGAGACCGTAACGAGACTGAGACCGTAACGAGACTGAGACCCTGACCGTAATGAGACCGAGACCGTAACGAGACAAGAGACCCTGACCGTAACAAGACTGAGACCGTAACGAGAATGAGACCGTAACGAGACTGAGACCGTAACGAGACTGAGACCTTGACCGTAACAAGACTGAGACCGTAACGAGACAGAGACCCTGACCGTAACAAGACTGAGACCGTAACGAGACTGAGACCGTAACGAGACTGAGACCGTAACGAGACTGAGACCGTAACAAGACTGAGACCATAACAAGACTGAGACCGTAACGAGACTGAGACCTTGACCGTAACAAGACTGAGACCGTAACGAGACAGAGACCCTGACCGTAACAAGACTGAGACCGTAACGAGACTGAGACCGTAACGAGACAGAGACCCTGACCGTAACAAGACTGAGACCGTAACGAGACTGAGACCGTAACGAGACTGAGACCGTAACGAGACTGAGACCGTAACGAGACTGGGACCGTAACGAGACTGAGACCGTAACAAGACTGAGACAGCACCGCCATTCCCTCCCTCAGAAAAAGTGAGTGTCGTAGATATCGGACAGAGGAAAAACTCCGACGTTTATTCACCCGTGACTGAAGGAGCACAAAGATACGCAGCAGGCGTTTCATCCGTGGCCGGAGTCGTGGGTTTGGAGGTGGAACAGAACAAGGGACAAATACGTCCATGTTAAAATGTCTCTGAAACACATGAACAAAATATAAATAAACAACAGTAAACACCAACATGGACCTGAGACGGGACACCCCTACAAAAGCGCTGCGCCCTCTGTTGTCCTGGCGGGAAACTGCTTTGCGACTCTCTCCAGGTGACGGAGAGGTCTGAAAGAAAAACGTCGCCATCAAAGCGTGCGCGACTCCTCCTGAGCTGAGACGTTCAAATCTGACCTTTTTCTGCAAACTCAGAGAAATGTTGTAAACAAAGAGGCGGGGCTATGTGTGAATGACATCCTGGTCACATGACCGTCAGGAACAGAGCTGTGTGACTCATTAACCTGAACGGGTTGCTCTGAAAAAGTGTTTTACTCAGGGTACCAGAACCAGCACCCGGCACTACAAACAACGACAACACGCTTCTGCAGAATAAACCCAACAGCTCAACTTTCACCTCGAATCGTTAGCCTCCATTGTTACGAACTGTTGTAAAAACGCACTTTCATCTAATCTGGCTACTCGCTGCATAATCCAAGTGTTGCTGCTTGTTCGGAGAAGGAGATGACCCTTCTGCTGTTTGGGTGAACTCAGACTATCATGCAGAAGCTGCAGGATTCCTGCATCATTAATGAGAGTTAATGGAATTAAATTAGCTTCTAGTGCCTCGTAAAACTGCTAACCAGCTCAGACTGAGATTATGCTGCGGAGCTGATTGGTGGTGATATCAGCGTCGGGTGTTTATAGATGTTCACAGAACCTTTTAGGTGAATCGACTAATAAAACAAAGCTGTGGACTCTCACCTGGCCAGCAAGGCCTGTGGCGTCGGCGTGGGTCCGTTCAGCGTGTACACTCCCAAACTGGAGATCCCACTGGTCCCGACACTTCCCGACAAGCCGGCGTTCCTGTCCGCGTAGCTCAGAGCCAGGCTCTGGGGTCGGGTGCAGTAAAACGGGGTGGAGTGGGCGTCCCGTGGGAGGGCCTGAGCAAACAGCGCCCCGTAGTTCCCAACCTGAGGAGGAGTTGCACAGATTAAGATGAGATTACAACTTTGGCACGGGAGGTGATTAAAAGTGTGCATCTCTCACCCTGCTGGACGGTTTCCGAGGGTCTTCAGAAAGGCTGAGCAGCAGGTAGAGGACGGACCAGCGATGCTTCAGAACACCCTAATGAAGAGCAACACCTGGTCAAAAACTCCACCAAAATAACCAATGTTTACCCGTAAAAACCAGAAAAACTGGATTTTTAATTCTATTTCTCAGATTAGGAGACGAGCTTTAATAATCCCAAAGAGACCGGAGCTTCTCAGGAGGACACAAACCTGCGTCTGAAGTTTTCTGTGCAGCTCTGAGAATAAAGCAGCATCTCCTTCTCTCCTCTGCTTCAGCACTGAAACGGCACAACCAAATGTTAGCTGCTGGGCTTCTGAATAAGTCCCCAATCAAACAGAAAATCCAGGAAAAAATACAAGCCGAGAGCTTTTTACACAGTAGAAAACGTAGTTTTGACTAAACAAGCTCAGGTTTCCTACAAATCTGTCTAAAGTCACAGCTCTGACAAGCCCCACCACATCTATAATCTAAATCTGAGGCTGGATTATGTTTCTGTAGCCGTTTAGCTAAGAGCTCCTGGAATAAACCTCTTCATATGCCAGGACTTGTGTAATTTAACCAGATTAAAATGTGCGACTGCTGCTACCTCAGCTACTTTACAAGGTGCGGTAAGCGTTAACGTGAAAAAGCAAACATTGCTCCACACATACAGACTGGGTTCATCACTGTGGGACTGTAGGAGGTCCAGCAGCACTCACATTCTTTCTTGATCTTCTCTGACACCAAGAACTCGTCCCGTTCGATGGTGGGGGCGTAGTTGCTGCCGATGACCCGCACCGCATACTGGAACTGGTGGGCAACTTCAGCTGCAGGAACAAACGAAGGTCCCAGTCAAGTCAAAGAGATTCAGTTTAAAAACATGCCCTTTGTTGATCACACCTGGTAACTAAAAAGGCAGTAAGACATTAGCTGGTGATTGCAATCGGACATTATTTAGCAGTCTAATCAGTATAGGAAACTCAGATGTGTGTCATTGAAGTCCATGAGTGCATGTTTAGTCCATCTCTAAAACCTAATTCAGCAGATCAGAGCTGCACAAAAATCAGAGAACAGTGTCAGTCCTCTAAACCAGAATCGGTGCATCACCAGGATCTGGGATGTTTAGTTTTCCTGCAGGGGGCTGCAGTTAGCAGGGCATGTGCATCCAAAAGCCCTGCACACGTTGGGTGGATCTGCGGAGCTCCGAGCTCACAGAGCTGAAGGAGCTTCACGAACCCAAACAGAGCGGTGAGTGACGCGAGTGTGCAGCATCTTCCGAGCAGAGGACCGACAGCTGCCATGACAGACCGGGCCCTGCTACGACGTGACATGTTTACCACAGATATCAACAACCAGCGAGCTGCAAAATCAGTCACTTATGTTTTTGTTCCCCCACAAAGCTAGCTAGAATTAAATAGTTTGTGCGCCGTAAATCGGTCGCAAAACTCTCCAGTTTGATGTGTAAAACGTTAAATTACTCCCGAATAGAGGCTGCCAAATAACAAATCTCCTCGCCGAATTCAACGGCAACCGTCAACAATTAGAGTAACATATTATGTTAAGTATAAAAGGTTATTAAAAGAGAAATGTAAAAGAAATGGTAAAAATGCGCTTTCTTGAATGAGGTTAGGTAGGGAGCTTCCTGGATACTTGAGAATGATCGTGGCGCGCTTAAGCTAGCGTTAACTGATGTACCTTCGCTTTTCCCGGTGATCCTGCAGCAGAGGCTCTGCAAAAGGACGTTGGGAGATTTCTGGTCCAGGCTTGCCATGGTGTCTGTGGTCCCAGAGTCACGAGTCGTCCGATAATCTAATAAATGTTGAAGAAGATCATCAACTAACTCCAGTCTCCCGCTATGAAAACGCCATTTTGGCTAACTGGCCTGGCTGCTGCGGAAAACGGATAGGGGCGGGGAAGGAGCGCTCGGGCACACCAACACCATATAAGGAAAAGGCATGTTGCTTCCAGAACTGAAGGGGGCGTTAGTTGTCCATGTTCACGTTTTTCTTCGTTGAAATCTTTATTGATACCGGTCATGAACTAAAATATCGTAGTTTGTTTATTTTAGTTTCCTTCCTCGTTGATTTTTGAACACAAAACAGGAAAATGTTTAACAAAACAAGATAAAGAAACAATATATTTACAACTATCGGTTTTTAAATTTTGATTGAAGGTGCAGTATTTCACAATTAAAAGTGCAAATTAACATAATAAACTGAACAGAATAAGCAACCAAAGGACAGAATATTAACAAAACAGAATGTCCATCATAACAAAACTTAATTAGAAAACGTATTTTTTCGCAAAATTGTCATTTATTGATTTTTATTTTCAGTAGAGTTAGAGAAAAATAATAAAAAATTTGAAATGGCATATTCTTTCAGCGGGAGTGTAAAACAACATGTTTTTTTTAAAGAGAAGCCACAATCTTAAAAGAAAATATTTTCTGTAATGATCTGATGGGAACCAAGACACAGTGACAGTTTAAAAAGTTTAATTTTCAACAGTTATAATTAAAATGTGCTACAGTAGCTGTGTGTCTGAGAAGATGCAGCAGGGTTCAGGAGAAACTGGGTAAACACTGAATGTGCCCCCTCAGGCTGCTGGTCTCCAGTTTATTCTCTCAAATGAATCAGTATGGGTCAATGGAAATATGGGACATGCCCAAAATGACAAAACTATGAGTTTACAGTGTAAAACATGTAATAAATGTATTTTTATGAGAGGCTTTAGGTTGTTTATTCAACCTATTCAGCCGTCCCATTTCTAACCCTACCTTTTCCACTTATTTGATTTGCTTACTAGCTGGACCACAGCCATCCAGCCCTAAACGACTTTAACTGAAAGCACAATAAATAATTGAAGAACACTCGTCTATATTATTAATTATTGGGAACAAAAAGTATTTTTATGTATTTATTTATTTTATTTTACCTTTATTTACCAGATGAGATTGAGAACTCATTCTCATTTTCAAAGACGATGGCCAAGAGGCAGCAGCAACAGTCACTAGTTAGCTTTACGCCAAAGACGAGATAAAAACATACAAGATTAAATAAAATAAAACAGTTACACAGAAAGACAAAGGCATTTCCATTAAGAAACAATTCACCAATGACTTTAAAATGAGCCTCAAATTATTTAAATTGATTGTGAATATTTTTGTTATAGAAACACTTTTTATGGTGCTGATAAATACTCACAAATGATAAAACAGCGGTTTTAACATCCTGTTTTATAAAATCACTAAGTTTTCATGGCTGAGAATGTTTGATCTTATTTAACTTTTTTCCATTTATGATGCAGCTATAATGCCCAATAGAAATGTGATTGAATTGTTTAATTATACGTTCTTCTACTGTGCACTAATCCCGTTAGGAACAAACAAATCGATGATTCTATAATTAACTGAAACAACTGATCAATTACGTGCCAGAAACACCAGAGAGCGCATGCGCTCACCTCCGTCCGACGGTACAGAGCCACCACCTGGCTGCGCGTGACGTTCATGAAAGAAAATCTCTGGCTACGGCGCGAGACAAGAAGATTACTAGTCCGCGCGCACATGAGCCGGAGAGCGCGAGGGGAAGAGGGGAGGAAGTGACTTCAGTCCTAACCTCCTGTATTAATCCTATATTAATGTCGATGGTCCTAACCCTGGTGCTGCCTCCGAAGGTGCGGACAGGTCTGCTGGAGCGGACCGAGCTCTTTCAGGAAGAAGGCAAAGAGGAGGAGAAGGAAAAGTCATGGACAGACGAGAAGAACTAAAAAGAACAGCAAAGCTTTAGAGAAAGAAGAGTCGAGATAGGAAACAGGATGGGGATGGATTTCAGCACTCTCCGGACTCTCATCAGCCGATATGTGAGTTTTATCCCCGCTTCTCTCCTCTTTTCTGGGTTTGCTGCCTCCTTACGGAACAAACCAGCAAGAAAACGAGCTTTTATTCCACTTTTGGTGTCAGATTCCGCCAGAGGCGCTTTAAGTTTCACCCAAACACGTGATGGGAGCGGGAAAGTGCTCTCTGACTCCAATAAACGAATCCAGCCTTTATCGTTTTCAACAGGAAGTTATGACTCATGTCATAATCTCCACAAATCACTGCCAAGTTCCTTTAGTGAACTGACCGTCAAACGCGCACTGAAAATGCCGTTTGAATCATTTTTGTAGCTTTTATCTGAAGTTTTTCAGCAAAATCAGTTTCTTCTGGGTTCCAAAAACTCATATAAATGAAATCCTGACATTTTTTTAAATGAGATGATTTTTTTTTAGCTAAGATTAATACAGAAACATGTTAAAAGTAGTTACGACTCTTAAAAAGTTCACTATTACTATTATAAATTAGGTCTGAGCGATGATAAGTGCTACGGAAGCGCCACTCAGACAAAAAAGTGAGATGTTAAAACATCACACTTTTATTGTTCTAACAATATAACTTTCATGTTTGTACAATCCATTATCACTTTCTTACATAATAAAATTATATTGTATTTTACATAATATTTATATAATATTTATATAGTACAAATGTGATGAATATGAATATTGTTTCAACGTGAATGTTTTATTGTAAGAACATGATATTGTACAAACGTGAAAGTTATTTTTGTAAAACAACAAAGTTATGATGGTATAATGCGTCGGGATGTCCCGTTACGATATCGGAAGTCATTTGATACCAGCCCAAAAACAATGTATCGGATTATATCGGACTGCATCAAAAATCTCCGATATAAGCAGCCTGTTCAGGTTCACATTTTTGCAACCAGTGGTTAAAAACAATTGTAATTTTTTTCATACTTACTGTTATTGGCTCTTGTTCTCTGCTTGAGTAATGCCACTTAAATCAAACCTTTCATACATTTCACACTACGAAACAGGTAAAAGTATTTACCGTAATTTCCGGACTATAGAGCGCACCTCAATATAAGCCGCACCAACAAAGCACTCAAATACAAGTCGCGGCGCAGCAGCCACATGCAGGTCTCCGGCGCACAGCGCATGTTTGGCCATAACATAAGATAATTAGACAGAAAGTCGCTACACGGAGGTTTTTCGTTGTTGTTTTGATTCAACAAAACAAATTTTAAACACGGCAAGTTTAGAAAAGAAAACTGCACTGATAGCATTCATATTTCTGGATGGTTATAAAATAAAAACAGAACTGACACGTTATTACCGGTAATTTGCATGCATGTTTAGAAGAAAAGAACAGCGCTGACACAGCATTAATAAGCCCTGGATGATTAGAAAATAAAAACTGCACACAAAGCGTGCCTGGTTAGTAAATAAAACACACTTGCCTACCAGAAAAAGTCATTCGCTCTCATCTTCCTCTTGCGCACTAAAGCCATTAAAGTCCTCTTCTTCAGTGTCGGAGTCGAACAGCCTCAGAAGAGCTTCGTCACATACCTTTTCTGTGGCGATGTCAGTGTCGCTGTCTGTGTTGCTGTCATCATCCCCGGGTGAAGCTGGCTTGAATGAGTTCTTCCCGTTGCCGTCTCCAGCGCCGAACCATGGATTCATTCATGCCAAGCTTACGTGCGGCAGCACTGTTTCCCTCCTTTACTGCCAGATCGATGGCCTTCAACTTAAATGCGGCATCATATGAACTCATACGTGTAGTTACCATGATGAGGGGGTATGGATTTGAAAAAAATTCTTCGTCGTGCCGGCTGCTTGTGTGTGCTAAATTAAAATGAGCACTTTCTTCGATTTCCACTTTTGACTTCCACCTGTTTCACTTTCTGCTAAAGCGCCCCCTGGCAGGTGAAGGAAAATCTTCAGTAAAGCCACACCTCATAAGCCGCATGGTTCAACGCATGGGAAAAAGTAGCGGCTTATAGTCTGGAAAATACGGTATGATTTGTGCTGACATCGTATCGGATGATATCGGTATCAATCAAAACTGAAGGTTGCAATATTGGTATTGTATCGGAAGTGAAAAAGTTTTATCGGGACATCCCTAATAACGCGTTATCGCTCTAATTTTATTTTGCCTGATTGGCAGCTGTAAGCTTCCGTAGCTCACAGATGGTTAAGCAGTGTCTGACTTTCTATTGCAGCGTAGTAATGGTGCGTTCAAAGACCGAAGCAAACAATCAATATAGATGTATGCGTTTGAGAATGGCCGATCTAAGCCAATCTGACTAAATATTGATTGATTCAGATCACCAGCTGATGTTTTGTTGCATCTCTTTTCACAAATGCACAAAATAAACATATAAAAAGTGGTTTAAATCCCCTTTATTTTAAAGTTTGGTAGCAGTTATATGTAATTCAGCAGTTATATATGTTAAGTTTGGATGTCACTCATGTAAACAACTTTGACTCAGTTTAAAAACACAACAATAAAGGTGCTGCCACAACCTGAATAGTCGTGATGGATCCCATATTTAACTACATGTTTGTTCCTGACAGAACATGCAGGAAACCAAGCCCACAACGCTGAAAGTCAGCTCTAATATACCCCCCCCCCCCCCCCCCCCGAGGTGATCAAGGCTACAAATGGAGCAGTCACATGAATTATGTAATCCAGTTTCTTTCTTCCTGCTAGCCAAATCAATGGGCTGGTATGGACGCGGGCTGCTCCAGGCTCCACAGTAATGTGCCTGACAGTAATCCAGATAGAGCAACAAGCACCGCGGACATCAGAGCCAGGCGGGTTTCTTACTTCATGCTCTGTGAGGCTTAGACACAGCCTCCCAACTGTGGCACAGGGATGATTAAATGAAAACCCTGCTGCATGGAGGCTGAAAAGTAGCGTGGTAGCAAAGAGCATGCAGACAGGTCTGTGAATTATGGGATGTGGGATCTGATGGTGTCTGCTGCTCTAATGGGTTGGGACTAAATAGATGTTGCTGCACAGATTCAAAACGGTTTCAGAATAACATTTTATCTGTTAG